TAAAATATATTATATATCAAACTATGTAAATTTTAGATAATTCACGGGTAGTTTGTTAAAATCACAATTATAATGATAAAGCGAGTTACGAATAATGTTTTTTACGAAATGAATTCTGTTACGAGTTGGACTTTCAAAAAAAATATTGTAAATATGTAAATTTTACGTATATTCCTACTTTTACTACAAAAATAGTCAAAATAAATAATTTATCGACAAATATTATTTCGTGCTGTTAAATTTTCACCGTGTTTATAATTGTATCAAAACTCAGTATTTGATTATTTACTCACTTTTTCTTTTATTATTTGATTTAAACTTATTATAAAAATATATGATTTACCGTAATCGACTGCATTCTAATAAAATTAAAATATAACATTTCTTAATCCGTTAAAAGTTATATATATGTAATTATTTCCCCCGCGCTGTAGCGCGGGTCCGAACCTAGTTTTTTTTTTTATTTAGGTACATCTATTGTAGTTTCCAATACTAATTTATATAATTAGTAAAATTATTAAAACGAAAATGCATTATTAATTTTTAAAATAAAACTAATAAAAATTAAGTATATACGATTTGATATCAACTTTAACCAATAAAAATGAGTATATAATATTTCATATCTAATTTACTATATTAAATTATTAATACTCATTATATTTCACCTTTATATGATTTAATTTTTGTGAAAAATCATTATATCATCCATATAACAAAAAATATTTTTTTTTTATTCTCATATGTCATGATTAGAATGTTTATAAAAAAATATTTTTTATCGGATGTCCCCGAAGGGACTTTTATATAAATATATATATATATATATATATATATATATAAACTGTTTAAAATATGAATAAAAAACATTAACGGGTCAAAAAATCAAATGTAAGTAATATATTTCAAGAAAATATTTTAATTAGGAAATTTTAGAAATAATTTAACTCGATATTTTTTTAAGAATATCATAAATATTTAATTGATCAAATTTTTTTTATAAATACTCTAATTTTTAAACAGATGTATTTTAAAAAAGAATCATAGCAAGCGGGTTAAATATAGTATTTTATATGATAGAAAATTTATGATTTTTGTAACAAATGGAAGGTTAGATTATATGATGATGAAATTTAAATAAGGTTTCACACCTCTAAATATTTGAAAATTTGATTACACAACCGATTTTAAAAATGACGAACGATACGTTATGCAAGCAATTTTACTATTGGGATTCTAACATGAAAACATATATTCTGAATTATATAAAATTTCATTTTTTGATTGTTAGGATAAAGAAACTTATTGTTAAAAAATATTAAAAAAATATTACTTTTCATTGCTAGATCTTTAATTTTTTTATAACATAGTATTATATATAAAAAATATATTCATTTTAATAATATACAAGGGTCTGAAAAACAAAATTTCACTTTCTACTATAATATATAAAAAAAATTATTCAAAAATATAAAATTCAAGCCGTGCAATAGCACCAAATAAAAAATTCAAAAATAGAAAATTCAAGTTCAAATGAAGGAGGGATAGGGAAGTACCTTGGCCTTCCCGAACATTTTGGGACAACAAGAAAGGACATTTTCACCGGTATTGTTGACAAAATTCGTCAACGGATCGGAACGTGGACAACACGCTTCCACTCGCCAGCGGGGAAGGATGTTCTTTTAAAAGCGGTCTTGGATGCGATGCCGGCCTATGACATGTCCTGTTTTAAACTTCCTTCCTCCTTATGCAAAAGAATCCAAGCGTTAACACTTTTTTGGTGGGGCTCGAAACCGGGTGCAAGGAAAATGAGCTGGATATCGTGGGAGAAGCTTACTTAGCCGAAAGAACATTCTGGACTAGGATTTTGAGAGATAGCCGCTTTTAATGACTCACTGCTTGCGAAAATTGGGTGGAAATTGATTCAAAAACCAGATTCTCTGTTGGCTAGAGTCTTGTTGGGCAAATATTGCCATTTGTCCTCATTTATGGAGTCAAAAAGTCTGTCAGTCGCTTCACACGGATGGTGAGGTGTACTGGTGGGTGAGGAGATTCTAGCTAAAGGGTTGGGTTGGATTATTAGTAATGGGGAGGAGGTTAGCATGTGGCACTCCCCTTGGTTATCCTCAGTCACTCCGATAAGACAATAGGACCACCTCCTTTGCTAGATCTTTTGGTTAAGGATCTTCTTGTGCCCAACACAAACAACACAAAAAATTGGAGCATAGATGCAATCAGACTTCCCCTGCCTCATCATGAGGAAGACATTCTCAGCATTGTACTGAGTTCTTCAAGAAGACTAGACAGGCAACGATGGTTACCTCAGAAACAAGGTATCTACACTTCTAAATACGGATACGCAATTGGTTGAACTGCAGCTGCTACAGCCCAGGAAAACACTTTTAGTTGGAGATCATGTATTTGGAATGTTAATACTTCAGCTAAGTAGAGAATGTTCTTATGGAAAGCCGCTCGCAACGAGGTTGGTGATGTGCTTTTTAATGAATCTGAGATTTGTGTTTACGATGATAAAAAAATATACAAGTATGAATGTAATAAAACCTTTACTGATTTGATTATATTACAAACTGAATTGTTATGTTGTGTTACAGAAACAAAGACACGTTCTTTATTTATACAAGTGAACAATTTGTGTCTATGTAATAACACAGTGACATGACTCTTAATCTAAAAGACACAACTGTATAACAAGACAACTTGTGTCTCTTGAACAAGTAACTAACTTATGTAAATGTGACGACATTTGATTAAACTCCAACACTCCCCCTTAATCATATCTCAGCTTTACTCCAAGCTTCCTTCTAAGCTCTTCGAACCTTGATATGCTTAAGGCCTTGGTGAGTATATCTACGAGTTGATCTTCTCATTTGCAATCCTCAAGTTGAATGAGTACTTTTTTTGCTCGGCTTCTCGTACGAAATGGTACTTAATCTCTGTGTACATGTTTCGTTCTTCTATGTTGCATCAGATTCTTTCCAATTGTTATTGCCGACTTGTTGTCACAGTAGATAGGAGTCCCTTCTTCAATTCCAAGAAAGTAGTTTAGCAAACCAAGATCCTTCATCTCGAATTCGTTCTTCATGTTCTCCTTGAATGTGTTGATGAGCTGAACATTGTTTTCAGGGATGATAATCTCATTAATGTATAAGCTAACGATCAACATGGTTTCTCCTTGCTTCTTAACGTACAACGCCGCATCATTCATACTTCTTTCAAAATCATTTTGAATAAAGTAAGAATTTATTCTTCCATATCATGCTCGTGGGGCTTGCTTAAGACCATATAAGGCTTTGTGTAACCTTAGCACCTTTTCTTCTTTTCCTTTAATCACAAACCCAGGTGGTTGTGTGCCATAAACTTCTTCTTCAAGCTCTCCGTTTAAAAACGCCGATTTGACGTCCATTGGGTAGAGTATCCACTCCATTTGAGCCGTGTATGCAAGCAAAGCTCGTATTGTATAATATATTGAAACATGGGTGAATATCTCAAGATAATCAACTCCATATTCTTGAGAAAACCCTCTTGCAACCAGTCTTGCCTTGTGTTTAATTTGATTTCCGTTCGTATCCATTATAATCTTATAGATCAAATTCACGCTTATCACGTTCTTCTTCTCCGGCTTGTCAACTAGTTCCCAAATTCTGTTTTTCTCGATCGTTTCTGTCTCCTCACTCATAGCCTATCTCAATGATTTATTATCACAAGCTTCATCATAGGTTCGTGGTTCTTCATGTGCAAGGAGACAAACTTCTATGACTTGAGCTGCTTCTTCAACCTCCCTACTTTCTGCATTTTGCAAGATTTCTTTCATAGACTTGTATCTCTTTGCTGGTGTTTCTGAATTAATCTGCCAAAGGTCTTCGAGATCTTGTGAATCCTCTGTAGTTGATTTCTTGGCTCATCATTATTTACTTGAGACAAAACATGACTGTGGATTCCCTCTCTTTGATTTATTGGCTCTTGTACGTCATTAGTAGATAAGACAATGGTCTTATCAACTTCTTCTTGTCTATCCCAACTCCACTTCTTATTTTCTTCAAACTCCACATCTCTTGATACTTCAATCTTCTCATTCTCCAAGATGAGGACTATATAGCCTTTAGATTGATTACTATAGCCAACAAGAATACCACGCTTCGCCATAGCACTAAATTTCTCCATTTTAGATCAGGGATATGTACGTAACATATACTCCAAAACATCTTCAAGTGTGAC